TATAGCTTTAATTCCCCAATACACAAGGGTTTAACCACACAATATTTCTAAATTACATCAATCTATATTTCAATTTACCTACACTGAATTTGAAATGGAGAAGTTTGTGCCAGAACCAGGCTGTTCACGGTGGATAAATCCAGACAAAGCATCTACAGTCGCGATTCTCTTCCCTGGCTCTCATCTTGATTGGTTGTCATGAAAACAGTGCCCTAGAAATGGGTACATTTATTTAAAAGCACACAAAAGAAGGGTATTATTATCGCCAAATGTTATCAAGACCTACCCAGTCCCAGCAAGTGTTTATGGTAACTCGACACTCTGGTATGCGACCCTAACGGGTTACTTCAGAAAAAGAGCACCTAAATTTGCATTTACAAGATTTATGTCTATTCATTCTCGGTCTTCATACCACATATTTAACGGTTTCTCCAAGTTTTCTGTCGGATAAAATGCTACGCTCCGTTAATGTTGATGGGAGGTATTTTCATAGCAAGTGGGGTATGGTGTCAGCTGAATTTAAATCAGATAGCACAGGCAGATATTTGTGGGTTTAACTTTCAAGTGTTGTTGAAATAAACCCCACAGCATTGTCTACGCTGTAATACCTTACTGCTTCAAATTTAGGTCAATGCTGAAAATTCAGTTGTGATCTTTTCTCTCTCAGTGGCAATAAAATATGTAAGAATAAAATGCCCCTAGCAACCCCCAAATTCTAGGTACGAAAGACTCGCCTTATACACAGCAATATACGGAACTAATCATTAAGTTATAGAACTGAAGTGTTTTTAATAAATTTGATTAAATAACTTGATGAAGATTTTGTTTGTCATAAAAACTGTTTCTGTTACAAGCCTAATTATGCTCAAATCAGAGGTTGAGAGTAATCACAGTGTTTGAATAAGTTAAAGCTTGAGTTTTTCATATATCATGAACTGCAAGTTAAACTTCAATGGAAATGTACACTATCTTTCCAAATGTTGTAATGGATGAGAAGTATTACACTATTTGCAATGTACCCAGTTAGAGTGAGTGAGTGAGTTGGGTTTGATGCCACTTTGAACAGTATTCCAGTTATACCACGACATGTCAACCTAATGTGGGAGGAAAGACCCAAGTGATGCCGGTCTCAGACAAGCATGAGTATGGTGCTGACAAACCTTGAAACATTATCGGGGCAAACCTGGATAATGAGACAGAGAACCAGTCTTGACAAATGCTTACTAAGGTCAAATTATCGGTGTCCAAACATGTCATCAAGTAATCAAGCAGTAATAACGGTTTTCTTGTTAACAAGTTGCCATGGCGAAGATGTTGTAAACATGGAAATAAGATTAAAAAGTACTTGCTAGGTTTGACCAATTCTGCATAATTCGAACATCCTTTTGTTTCTGTTTAACTTTCACTTTTATTCCAAGACTTGTTTTAGGAAATCAACTTCAATCAGCCATAACAACACTTTTTCTATTGATTTAGGAAAATGGTCCAGGTTTGACCCCCCCACATAGGTACATGTGTGTCTGGCGCCGTGACCATCTCTACGTGTGTGTGCTTCACACAGTATGTTCTTGAAGTAGATCAGTTTTTGGGATGATTACGGTACTGACTGTTTGTATAAGCCAAGCTGTCTGACACTATCAAGAGCCTTTGCTGTGCATTGGGTACAAATGGGATTGTTACATGGCTGGGTTTGACTCCAGTGCAATCTCTGCTTATGACTCATCCCAAGTTTGTGGCGAGATCTCTGTTTGTTAGGATTTAAATCCAATTTAATTCTTAAATTAAAAATATCCATTTGTAGTATATTTTTAGGACATTCAAACATACCTGTGTTGTGTGTTACATGCATGATTACTTCAGTGGGGGGTTCAGTTTGGGATGGAATTATTGTAGCTTTGTTTGGCAAACCTTTCTTACAACTGGATCTCTTAACATGCTAGGGGCGGTAGGGTAGCCTAGTGGTTTAAGCGTTCGCTCGTCACGCCAAAGGTACAATGGGTACAATGTGTGAAGCCCATTTCTGGTGTCCCCCGCCATGATATTGCTGGAATATTGCTAAAAGCGGCGTAAAACCATACTCACTCACTCACTTAACATGCTCCAATGATTAAAATATATTATGATGAATTTACCCTTTTGGTTTTTCACTGAAATATACAATACATTTTATCAGGTATTGTTTTTTTCGAAGTTTATGGATTTTTATTGCATATAGAAGTTGTATTTTCTTCTTTTTGTTTACCACAATGAACAGGCCAGCTAACACACCTAGACAAGTAAACAAGCAAACATGAAGCAGGCTTTTGTTCCATGGTATTCCATGTTCCAACCAACGGTCTAAGAAAATTCACCAACAATGGTCTTCACTTATTGTACCTATAAACCCAGACACATGGCCACCTCACTGTGTAAGGACATCGCATACCTTCCTTATACCAGGGGGACCTATGAAGATCCGGGGTAGAATAGGTCTTCAGCAACCCATGCTTGTCATGCAAGGCGACTATGCTTGCCGTAAGAGGCGACTAATGGGATCAGGTGGTCAGGCTCGCTGACTTGGTTGATGCAGGTCATCGTATCCCAATTGCGTGGATCGATGTTCATGATGTTAATCACTGAATTGTCTGGTCCAGACCCAATTATGACCGCCGTCATACACCTTGATTATTGTTGAGTGTAGCGTTATACAATAAACAAACAAACTTTGGGAGTCCATGTGAGGATATTAACAATGTGCTGGTGTGACGTTGATTACCGGTCGTGTTATTTGCATATCCGTATATCCAAGGGGTCAGTGTATGGTTCTCAGCAGGAAGTGACAATGGGGTGACGATGGCTTGCGGTATATACAATCGATGTCCCAAATCGGTCGCTATGACAGTAGGACCCCAGTACCCACTGCTTGTTGTGAGAGATGATTAAATTGGTGATTGGTGCTCACAATGTGTACCCATTAATGTGGACCAGTGCTCATGCTATCGACCACTGGTTTGCTTGGCCAAGACCTGATTATTTACAGAGCATGAATATTGCAGATTGACACAAAACAACATTCGCTCATATTTTGATCATTTCGTCAAATCCAATGTTTTAATAACAACGTGATGTTTTTGCATTCCAGTTCAGAAAGTCCGAGGTATGGAACGTTGTTATGAGCCGGATCCCAGTAAGTAGGAGTAAGAGGATTCCTGCACACCATCTGGTAATGTCCGCTAGCACTGACCACTGAGTACATCTTTACTAAGCCATGAAGAAATCCTCAGGTTATCCAGTCCCACTCCACTCCATGCATGTACTTCCACTGGGGGCCCCGTAGAGGTGGGGTGTTAATTAGTAAGATTTCATCTCAGAATTTTTAAGCACCGAATGTGAGATCAAACCATTAAGAGCCCCGGGAGGGTATTTGAGTACTTGCTACAGAATCGCTTCACCTTTATGACTCGACCGTTGAGATATTGAAATAATTGATATGATTCATATTCGACCATGCCAATAAGGAATCTATAAAGTCTTCAACATGTTGAGGCTAACAGATCATAAGTAAGTCTTTTGACAATACAAAGAATATATAGTACCAGAAGTATAGCTTTGGCCTAGAACACTTAAATTTCCTGATCACTTTACTCTACTGGCAGATGTGTATCATGATATAAGGATATCTATTTACCATTAGTATCATGATATTGTGATACACATCTGTACCCCTGTACACTTTACACCTAGCCCCCCTCCCATGTGTCAGCTGTGGTTTGCCTACACCAGAAGCCAACATCAGGATCAAACTCAAGACGACAGGCAGGTAGGATCCACAGGTGTGTTTTTTTGTTTAATATAGAAATGAGCAATAAGACATCTATATGATGATGGCCTGTTAATAATAGTCTGGACCAGACAATAAAATGATTGATAATACGTCCATCGATCCACACAATCAACGTACGCTGACACTTAATCAACCGAGTCACCGAACCCGACCACCCAATCTATTAAGTCCCCCTGTACGACCAGCATCAGCTGCTGGGGTGCAGTTCTAACCTGGAACCCCAGCAGGTTCCACAGGTAAAACACCACTTGATCACCCCCTGCCCCCTTCTTACCTGGCCTTAATTACCCAGCATCCCCTCCCCCGGTACCCCTCACGTAAAATGTGTGGGAGGATAATGGCTGCCACAGTCTCAATCTGACATGATCCCTGAGCTAACACCATGCCTAGTTGGTTTCTGCCTTAATTACAGCTAGAAGAAGATGTCAAACAAGACAGGGTCGGCCAAATGAACTTTGTAAATACTCCAATACTTCTTCTGATTAGTGATATACCTTTGTGGTTTTCCTGTGTACTGTTAATGTCTTAACTCTTCTTTGTCCAGGGCCTTGGTCCCCTTCACAAAGTGATTTTAGTGCTAAAATGATCTTAACTCCCATATTTTAGTGAGTGAGTATGGTTTTATGCCATGAACAACTATCTACGTCATCGCGAAACCAGGACGCTCAATCCGCCAATCCACAGACCAGGAAGCTCCCCATGAGTGAGTATGGTTTTATGCCGCTTTTAGCAATAATCCAGCAATATCCCGGCGGGGGACACCAGAAATGGCCTTCACACATTGTACAATGTCGGGAATTGAACCCGGGTCTTCGCCTGATAGCAAATGCTTTAACCTCTAGGCTACCTGACCGCCCTCCCATATTTTAACATAGGCTTACGGCAGTAGAAGCGCAAAGATGGCTTTGCATATATAATACTCAAAATAAGTTCAAGGACACCCATTTTTTTATGGGCTATAGTTAATCTGTCACCGCTGGTGGATATTGCAACACAGCCTTCCTATGGTGGGGGGGCGGTCGGGTAGCCAAATGGTTAAAGCGTTCGCTTGTCATTCCGAAGACCCGGGTTCGATTCCTGACATGGGTACAATGTGTGAAGCCCATTTCTGGTGTCCCCCGCCGTGATATTGCTGGAATATTGCTAAAAGCGGCGTAAAGCCAAAACTCACTCACTCACTCCTATGGTAGGTGTTCCTTTACTTATTTTGAGTAGTATCTATACACCATATAATTTTAACTCCACTTAATTCCATGATGAACGAAGGTGTTCCGAAAATAAAGTTAATAAATAAAACTTTAAAATTGGTACCAGTAAGCTGTTCATCAGAGTTTGTTGTTTTCTGATATGAAGATTAATGATATGCCATGGACATTTTTATAGATCCTTGGGAGGACAAAAAATCTAATTGGAATAGATACAATTTGCAATGGATGAGTTAGCCCAGACAGGTCTTATAATGCACCACACACGATAACAGTGTACAAGAAGAGAAGAAACAGGCGAAGAAAGTTTGCAGAGTTGATTGCATGACAACTGTTGCTGTGGAGAAAGAGGTGAAAAATATGAAAACATGTACCATTTATCAGTGTCATCGCTGCTAACATCTCCAGTAAGACACGTGTCCTGTCCTGTAGTTTTAGCAGCATTGAAACTGGTAAAGCATTGCATCCTTCAAGACAACATTAAAGTGAATTGGTTGTAATGAGGCTAGGCTTTTTTAAAACTTGATTTACGAATCCTTCCACTTGAAAAAATTGAAATGTGACCAAAAATATGTGCCCTGTTTTAAAAATATGCATTTACTGTCTCTATCAATATAAATAAATTATTCCAAATACTATAATTAAAACCTCTTGAAAAATTATCTTAAAAGCTACTTGAAAATATAAAAAAATATTTGAAATTGGTATTTTTTATATATATTAACTCTTATTTCTTAGGGACAGATAGATATTAGGAAGTGCATGTTTGCATGTTAGCATCTTAGAATAGAAAAAAATACAGTAAAATTCATCTGTTTTGGGAACTTTAAGTTTTAGTCTTCAATTTGAGTTATTTTTCCTTAACTGTGTGACGCCATGGTGCACTATGTATAAAACTATTACAGTCTGGTTGTTTCCAGGTTCATGGAATGTACTTCCTTGTACGCTTTCCTTGTTGGATAAATTATCACTCTGATTTTAGTGTCTCAGGTCATCGTCTTTCATTCACGATTCGAAAACAAAACCATGCAGACAAAAATGTGTTTTAAAAAAAAAGAAAAAAACTAAAATCTGGAATTGATGAGAAACGTTTTTTGTGTGGCCTCATACTTCATGACGAACATGCACGTTCCTGCATGTGTGTGTTTGGCTGTTAGAGTTTGGCGTGTGCACCTTGTAACGCTGTTGACCCATGGGTCTTCATTTAGTCTTGTAATTACGGACTGCATGGAACAGTAGCAGGCTGATCGTAGCCAGATCTCCACGAGGAATGGCCAATTACCTTGCTACAGTATCAGGCGGGGGACTTTATTCTGTCTTTATTGAGATGTCTGCAGGGTGAGGGGAAACGTGAGATGGCTTTCATTGAAAGTGTGTGTTACCTTTGAAGAAATATTGCAGGGGAGGTGTACAATCTTGGTTACATGGTCCCCATTTACGGACAGTCGCCGGATATAACATTCAGATTTAGACAACCCACTCCAACAGTCAGACAATTAACTGATACAAAATTCAGACAAACCCAATCCAACATTCAGACAAACCCAATTCAACATTCAGACAGACCCAATTCAACATTCAGACAAATCCAATTCAGGCAGTTGCCTTAGTCCAAATTTCAGACAGACCCAATATAATATTCAGACAAACCCAATATAACATTCAGACAAATCCAATTCAGACAGTAGCCTTGGTCCAAATTTCAGACAGACCCAATATAACATTCAGACAGACCCAAAATAATCTTCAGACAAACCCAATATAACATTCAGACAAATCCTTATGCAACATTCGGACAAACCCTTTCAACATTTAGACAGACCTAATTCAACATTTGGACAAATCCAATTCAGACAGTTGCCTGATCCAAAATTTAAACAAACCAAGTATAACATTCAGACAAATCCAATTCAGACAGTTGCCCAATCCAACATTCAGACAAACCCAATCCAACATTAAGACAGACCCAATTCAACATTCAGACAAATCCAATTCAGACAGTTGCCTTGGTCCAAATTTCAGACAGACCCAATATAACATTCAGACAAACCCAATATAGCATTCAGACTATTCCAATCCCACATTTAGACAGACCCAATTCAACATTCAGACAAATCCAATTCAGACAGTTGCCTTGGTCCAAAATTCAGACAAACCAAATATAACATTCAGACAAATCCAAAATAGAAAGTTGCTATGATCTTTGTTACTTTAATACCATTACAGAGCTCGGAGAATTCTTTAGTGAGTCAAAGTTGTTGCTTGGATTATTTCCTGATTTTCTTATTAATGCCAGCTTTTGGTGGGACAAATGAGTATTGTTTTATAACGTAAGGCACAGACGTGGCACTGTATGGACAATTTGGAAATGTCGCATCACCTGAGTGAAATATTTGTTGTCCAGTCAGTAAAAAACAAATCAGTTTTATCAGCGCTACTCTGTTGAAGATGGGTTGTTGCAGCGAGTGCCCTGGCTGACCACGAGCTCATGATGTCAATCACTGGATTGCCTGGCCCGGAATATTACATAGACAGAATATTGCTGACAGTTGCGTAAAATAACATTCCCACACTCTGCAACGTCTTTGCAACCAAAACCTGGAGACGTGTATTCTCTCTCACCTTGGACTCTAACTTAGTCGACGACGAGTTCCTCAGCATCACGCCGACTAGTCAAGAACAACGACGACCATTTGGATTCTCCAGGTACGTGTCCTCATAAAAAGTGCTAATGAGCTATTAAATAAAAAAGCCAGTATCAGGAATGTTCATATCCTGATACAGAATCAGTCTACCAGCCCGAGCCTGTAACGACTTACCATTATTTATCAGGAATCCGTGGCACCAGATAGCACCAAGGTAGACACGCCAGTACAGTAGCGGCAGCACTACCTTGTGTAAACTCATTGTTCCTGACACGATAAAAGATCATCCCAAAAGTCAGTCGTGTTCATTTAGTTTATTGAAATATTTATCGTTATTATTTTTCTTCATATATATTATTCAGCTTAATACTTTATATCATCCCGTTTGTGACCTTTTCTTCTGGCGGAAAACATGCAAATGAAGCAACAGTTAAATTGTGAAAGTGTTCTTGAGACAACCCCTAGATTGTGTGACGTCAAAACCGAAACTCCCTACAGTTGGGCATGGTGCAAGGAGCTTTCTTTAGACCTTTGTTTATCAGGCGGACTCTGTCTCGTTCATCTGTCGGGTCTGGCTTGCCTTCTGTATATATACACACTAATTACCTTAAATTTAAGGAATCACCAGCAGGTATGGCCTGGCCAAGTTTTATCTCTGTAATTACTGATGATAACATAATACTACCTGTGTCTAGTAATTCTAGCTGTTTGTTTGTGCATCACGGGGTCAGATTGCTTTCACTGTGAAACCCTATATAGCAGGTAGAGCTTTGTAGCATATTCTAGAGAGTATACGTGAAGGCCGCTTTCCCTGCACCACAGGTTGAGGGGAGCCTGATTTGTAGTGTATGTATACTACTCAAAACAAGATAAGGAACATCCACAATTGGGAGGCTGTGTGTTGCAATACCCATCAACCATGATAGATTAACTAAAGCCATATGAAAAACATGGTGTTCTTTAACTTCTTTTGAGTAGTATATGTTACGCTCAGCTTGCCATATTCCAGCAATATTCCAGTTATGTTCACCTCTACCACAGCGTTCTGAGTTTAATCGGGACTAATGCAGACAAACCACTGGCTGACATCATGAGCACGCTTCACTCAGTCGGTACAATGATGCTCAATCAGCAATAACCGATGTGATTTCTGTTTGTTCAGTATGTCTACACATTTTTGCTTCTTATGAAAGTGTGTTGGTTTGAATGTGTAAAGATATAATATTTAGAAGTAATATTATTTTGTACAAACGTTTGTATATGAGTAGATCAATGGGTGAGTGTGGTTTTACTCGGCCTGGGCCACATCACGCCAGGGACACACATTGTATCCCTGGGGGAGTGGAGCCCTACCGGTCGCATCCAACGTACCACAGAAGCCAACATTAAGTGCCGGGTATTCACCCATGTTTCACGGTGGCTAAAAAACCCCAACAAGAACTGGTTATTCTATGGGGATGTATTTGAAACGGGTATCATAGGAGTTATTTTGGACCTTACGTTTGCATTGTTTCGGCGGCTGTTTTCAGCCCAGTAACGTATTGATAACGTTGGTAATGTTTTGGTCAAATCGATTTTTAGTGTACAGTAAACTACGGTTAAAACGAATTCAAAGGGACCACGAATATCAGTTCGTTATAACCATACTTCGTTATAAGCATATATGCAGCAAATTGACGGGACCTAAACTTAAGCTCGTTATATCCGTCGGTTCATTATAAGCGTGTTCGTTATAAACGTAGTTTACTGTATATACTTTCTTTTGCCCGGGAGTTTTGAAACATTTAAATTTTACTTCAAGAACTTTTTTTCCAAACACAATGAGTAGCATACATTTCCAGCTTAAACAATTCTATACCTTTCGCCCATATGCTTTTTTTATTCTGACCCAACACAATAAATAAGAGGATACAATCATTTTTCACAAAGTCATCCGGAAGACTAAATTGCTTTCTCCATTCAACAGTTCGTTAGGTTATCTTGGCACATATTAATATCTCATACACCGATGGAATACCATACACTTGATGTGGTCTGCCTTTAGAATTCAGCACCACAAAGTATACAAACACGGGATCGGGTGATCAGGCTCGCTGACTTGGTTGATGCATGTCATTTTATCCCAATTGCGTGTATCGATGCTCATATCAATCACTTGATTGTCTGGTCCAGTCTCGATTATTTACAGACCGCCGTCATATAGCTGGAATATTGCTGAGTGCGGCGTTAAACAACGAACAAAACAAACGCGATGACGTAATTTGGAAATTGTGTCGCAAGATATACCGGCTGATGCTGAAGGTGCTCGCTGAAAGTTTGTAAGTTTCTCAGTTAAGGTTTCATGGTTGTAGTTTTTTCTAATCGTTGGGAGCGCGAGGCACTTTAGTATGTAAACATAATACAGTGTATGCACATTATGTAAACAATGTTAGTCTATTGGGAGTACAACGTAATGGAGAATGACCACAGGAGTCCATGGTGTACAGCATAAGGCAGTGTGACCTTACAGAATGTGTGTATATATCATGTTGACACTCAGTGTCGGAAACTTTGAATTAAAAACATGTTTGGGTTTGGTGTGAGTTGTTTATTTTTTGTGGAAATGACAAAAAGCTCGCCAGAAACAGAGAGACAGAACGATTTGGAAAAACAACAACTTCTGAAGTATAACGCCAGCCAAGGGTACAACCAAGACAACGAACATCACAGGTGAAGTGCATACACAAATACCGGATCACATAAACTGGAGAGAGAAAAAACCGTGATAGTGTAATATGCGTCATGATCGGCTGGTATTGTACAATGACGTTGAATTCATTCTAAAAGCATGAAGTTGACAGGATGCCAGGACGCGGGTGACCTTGACCCTGAGCTATGTGTGATAGGACATGAACGACACAGACATGCTCCAACATATCAAACAGGTACAGATGTTTCTTGTCAAATAAATGTCGCTAATTACTTGTCATATGAAAGGACGACATCATATGATCACAATGTTGTTACCTCACCGCGGGCAAAACACAAGTCAATCGTTGTCAAGAGTAATATATTATAAAAAAAACAACTGATGACGTCTCGTCCAGCAGCAGTGATGTCCAAAGGCAAGGTCACATCCAAAGCATCCAACCAGTACTAGGTACAGCGGTTGTGAAAGAATCGTGTTCCGATGATATGGCGTCTCATTGTTTTGGCAAATGCAAGGATCAGTTTCCGTTTACAGCGTCCACCTGCCAATAAATGATGAAACACCAAGCAACACAACATGCGAAAGGTAGAGGCCATTATCATATTATTATGTTAATAGACTTCCTACCGTGAAGATCCGGGGTAGAATAGGTCTTCAGCAACCCATGCTTGCTGTAAAAGACGACTGTGCTTGGCGTAAAAGGCGACTGACGGGATCGGGTGGTCAGGCTGGCTGACTTGGTTGATGCACGTCATCGATCCCAATTGCGTGGATCGATGTTCATGTCAATCAGTGGATTGACTGGTCCAGATTGACTGGAATATTTCTGAGTGTTGCGTCCCCCCCCCCCCCCCCCCCCCCCCCCCTCCCCCCCCTGCGTTAATTAGTATTTGAAGTTGTCGATGTTACGTTGCTGTGTGATTCCATCGTGAAAAAGCAGGGATAAGAAACGAGGTGATCGAAATATTACTTGGACATCTGACATAATCAAGTACACACAAATGTGATTCAAATGATACCAATAGGAATCCTGACGTGGTTGTCTACCAAATATTGCCGTGTGCAGAGCGCATGGATACGTAACGAGGGTGAACGAAAAAGCCACTTGGACATGACCAGGAACTGAAAGGGGTACTGTAAATATGTGTCTACATTTAAATATCAGTTTTGGTCTAAGACTTTCTGCTGTTTAAATATTAGAAAACGTTTCCTAATTATTTTTCACACGTTTAAACCTTGACCGTTACCACTGGTTTGTTATTATTCCAGAACATGCACGCAAGTCAAATCTGAACATTTTTCTCATTCTTAATTATGCTATCTCGTGTGAAAAAAGGGTACCAGCCTATCCTACCTCGTACTTTGTTTTAAGTAAGGGACATTTGACGTACTTTTGTAAGTGTCGAGGCATGACCTTCATTTTAGAATCGGAATCGTTGAGTTAGATGCTGAGGCACATTTCGGGTAAAGAGTTACTATGTAAAAGAAAAGAATATTGTCGCGGCAATGACATTGTATGATGGTCACAAAACTTGGCATGAAAAACGGCAACGGGTGCTCCTCGATCGTAGTTCAAAAACCATGAGGCGGATATCAGGGAAAAAACAGGTGACACAAAAAATAAACTCTTCTTTTGGTCGGTCAAAGTTGGCGCGTCTGTATACGGACTGACACAGAATGTCAAGGGGGCTGGGCAATTTACACGCTGACATCTCTATAACTGACTCCCAAGACGTGAAAAGGCGGATATGAGTTAATCTAAATACGTCAAACATGCGATAAGTTTGAAATCAAGAAGTTCGAACTCTTCCTTGTTAAATTTACAAAATTCAATTTATAATTCAAATCAAACACGCTTCCGGATACAAATCTCCTTTACAAGCAGGATGACTCTATTAGTAATTCCGAGTGGTAATTCTCTACGTATATCTGAACTAACAACTTTAACCACTTCACACAGGAATCTGCAGCGATGGAAAACATTTCCCGGTGTGTCAAAATATGAGTAGACAAATTGAAAAGATAAGAAAGTTTATTCACTCCATCCTTTCTTTTTATCTTTCTATCCGCTATGTAATAAAATCCAGATTGGGACGCTGTTACGTGGAAAGGGAGGGGGAGACGCCGGTAGCTGGGGGACTGATTATTCAAACCCTGCTATATGATTCCGTCTGTGATAACTCACTAAGAGAGGAGCGGCGGGGAAGATACAATCACAAGCGGAAACTCCCGACAGTTTATCTCATTTGCGTATAATTTCTAAATAAATTCGGTAGATAGGGATAAACATTTTAACCCAGCTCACACTGCAGACGTGCGTTTATATCCCATTCATGTTACCATTTTTTGTACGTTGAAACTATAACGTAAAT